GAAAGAAGTTGAGTTAGAAAGATTGGTGTATATGTGTGGTGCTAAATATCTATCTAGTATTGTTCTAAATATCTTTCAATACAAATTGAATCCATTTTTGTTACTGTTAAATCCAAACCAATTATATAGAATCCTCCATCCATGAGTACTAAGCAGATTCGAAAGGTAAAATATGGCTCAGGTCTGAAGATACCTCAAAGAATTTGTGTGTATTTGGAAACTGTTCTTCTAAACTTAATGTAACGTTGAGAAACGAGATCGCCATTTGATTGAACAGAAAACAACTTTCGATCCTATGAAGTTGAAGAACATGATCAAAGTCCCAAGAGTCGAATTCGTCAAATCGAATTAGTAAAAACCCTCGGTAAACAGAAGCTTACATTATAAGTAAACGCTAGACAGTATTTTTAATAATAAAGATTTTGATAATAAGATTATCTGATAAAAGCGCATTATCAGGATATCTTATCTAATTCGCAGTATTTTAGGTTCTCTTTACTTCTATTTGATTTTTGAATTATTATTATTATTAGATAGCCTACCTAAACGAGATATAGTATCTACATAGAAACGGCAATTGGGTATTGCTGTCAAAATTTGTTGGATTTATGATTGGCTCAGCTTCAACGACAATGATTGAGATATTTGGAGACGAATCATGGACCGATGATTAATGAATTTCCCATATAGTTTGTATTGAACATAAAATATGAACTACTTAAATAATTGATTGAACGAAATAAATTAAGTGGGTTCGCTTTGTCTCTTACAATTGTGTTAGATAACTATCTTTCATTCAACATAATATTATTCTTTTGTTTGCTATTACGCCACCCGCAGCTAATCCTTAATTGAACGTATAAGTCTGCGGGATATGCGGTGCGTCGGCTCCCGCCTATTAGCATATTGCGTAAGCGCTAATTAATATTCGAAATATCGACCTATAGGCTCAAGGTGTGGTAGATAACAAACAATCAGGTAGATCCGATGTTCCAGACAAAGGATTACATGCCGGAAGAAGTGCGAACGATTTTGCTTTAAAATCAGAATCCAGTCCGAAATCGATAGCAAACTGCTCACTCTCCTTCAAGCAACAGACCTGCTTTTAGGGACATTCATTGTTTTCGATTTGGAACTTTCTTGGAACGGGTTTGTAAAACTCGAGATCCATTCCAGAATGATCCCCACCGAACTCAATACCGCAACAATGTTTTCAAATTGGCTGCTTTCCGTGTAACTTAACGGAAAGTTACATGTTAAATATTTGTAAGTACATTCACAAATTTTCAATGGCTCATAACGGAACATATCGGAAAGGACTGTCTCTATCAAGTCTTTTCAGATATGTCTCAAAGTGAGCGACATTGACTATCTTCTGCAGTTCTTTAGGGCGCGATGCACTACCGGGCACCGGTACGCTGATGGGATGATGCTACAAACCAGAACGTTGCCAGATTCGATGGTTCGCAACGGAACATAACGGAAAGGACTGATCAAGTATATATTCGGTCTTTTCTGATATGTCTCATTGTGTGCCATTTTAATTATCTTCAAACAGTTGTCATTTTGAGGAAAATAAACTTAATTTATGCAATTAAACAAAGTAGGAAAGACACTTTGGTATTTTCGAAAGTCCACTACGGAACATAACGGAAAGGACTGTGATCAAGTATTCGGTCTTTTCTGCTATGTCTCATAGTGTGCCGTTTTAGTTATCTTCATTTTTCATTTTCAAGATAGATAAACATAATGCAATTTAAGAATATAAGAATGACATTAGGCATTTTCGAAAGTCCACTACGGAACATAACGGAAAGGGCTGTCTGTACTCAATTATTCGGTCTTTTCTGATATGTCTCACAGTGTGCCATTTTATTTATCTTCAAGTAGGTTTCATGTTCGATGTAAATAAACTTCGTGTAATCGAATAAATTGACAATGATATTCGGCATATTCAAACATACATCACGGAACATAACGGAAAGGGCTGTGGTATAATAGTCTTTTCCGATGTGTCCTACAGTGTGTCATTTTGATTATCTTCAAGCAGGTTTCATTTCGTAGTTATACAATTGAAGACGGTGACAATTGCATTTGATCCACTTCGGAACATAACGGAAAGGGCTGTGCTACAATAGTCTTTTTCGATGTGTCTCACAGTGTGCAAACTTGATTATCCTCGAATGAATTCATGTGATTCCTAAGTCAATCTAACATACGCCAAAATGGCTGATACACTCGAATGTACGCAACGGAACATAAATGAAAGGGCTGTATCGTGCTCGGCACTTTCCTCTATGTCCTACAGCGTACAATTTGGAAATCGGGTGGAAGGTTTTTGCTCATTCGCGATAGTTCGAGTGTCAAAGTTTTATGATGCTCACGCTACCGGTACGAAACATAACATAAAAGGCTGTACTATGTTTGGCACTTTCTCTTCATACAATTTCAACATTAACTGATAATGTTTTATACTCGAATGCCCGATACGGAACATAACGGAAAGGACTGAAATTTATTCGGTACTTTCTCCTATGTCCCCCATCGTACAATTTCCACATCAACTGATAGGGTCTTAACTTCTCATTACGGAACAGAATAATATTTACTACCGTTTATATAGGACCTGCAACTTTGTGTGTGATTTTATATTATCCAGATACGCACTGAAACTTATCGTGAAACAGGCCGCTTGTGTCCACTGGCTGTTTCAGGCAAGTTTGAACGTGTATTGGAAACAACATCCTTCCTTTGTAGAGGAAATCTTGTGATACACGGTGGAACTTTCACGGAACGGGCTTCATAAATTCAGACCCGCTCATGGTAGATCCTCAGTGTAATCAAGTCTATCATCAAATCCAGAGAATCAATTTGAAATACTAAGTACGGGCTAATTTAGAACCAAATAGCAAGTTTATTCAAACTCGTTCGCGTCGAAACATAACGGAAATGGCTGTTTAATAGCATCAGCCTATTTCGCTATGTCCTAATGTGTGCAGAAGTGTTAAAACACCAAACGACATGCAATGGAGACATCGCATCATATACATTTGTAATATCAGCGATATCACATAATATCATTGATCATTCCCAGTTACGTGTTGAAACTTGTGTGAAACAGGCCGTGTGACTGTGTGAGTAACGCTGTTTCCCTCAAATTTCATAATGTGGTGTGGACAATTACTCACATTGAAACTAACTATGAGCGAACAATTAGGTCTCTAAATCTGGCAACAGTGGAAGATGAATCCAGTTGGGTGAGCTGTAATTCTGAGAAGGCGTTATGAAACTTACATAGGAACAGGCCGTGCATGTGTTGGTGGTTTCCTGTAAGTTTTGAATCGCACTCGGAACAAACAACGAATAGAAGATTTCCAGGGTGTTTAGGTAGTATTGTCATTCCGGGTTTCAGTTGTGAAATTGATATCGTAAAAATTGCTTTATAAACACCGCATCGTAGCTGTCAATGTCGCACAGACGTCTGTCTAGTTTGTACTGCCAATGCTGTTCGTGTTAAATTATTTAATTAAAAACACCGTTGCGTTTATAGCATGCCGAATCTGTACCCTTATCCCAAACAATTGTGCATGGAAAAAATGACAATGAATATTAACAAATGTAACGTGTTTTATTTTAACAATGTACAAAAATACTAAAAACACTGTCGTTAACAAAAGTTCTATGTTTTAGGTAGATAGGTTTTTATGAGCAATAGTTAAAATATCATATATTTGCATCAGAGTTTGGATCAGGCTCACTTGTAAATAGAAACCAAAAATTAAAATCCGAAGCTGACAGGAAAAATATTTACTTGAAGTGTGGTAGTGGTCCTCTAACTGGAATAATCCAGTCAATTAAATAGCTTAGTATGTTTAAACAAACTTTTTGCATGTCGATTTCGAACTAAAATTTGCCCAGACTTTTGGCTCGGAAGCAAATTACTAGCAAAACAATTTTGCAAAATCGGAGATAGGAACACAACACTTGTTTCAAAAAATCTTGTCCCGGAAAAGCGTCAGCAATTATGCAAAATTACAGAAATTTATGAAGCGATTAAAACTCTAATATTCAGCCAAGCACAATAACAGCTTAACTTATGTTTGATTAGAGTATGCAATCATTTATTTTTTATTTTTACACTAAGATATCCTTGAAATATAGACAGTTTTACCGTATTGTCACATCATTTTTGGTTTTGATTTAATCCCCCTTTTTGCAAAGAGAATATGGTTCGAGTAAAACATGACATTAGGGTCAGTTGAAAACTTAGCCTGTAATATGGCCAATTGCGTCATTCGCTTTCTTGAACAGTAAATTGATTGTTTCATTGATATGCTCCTGCTTTTGTTTGGAAGTCCGAAAAACAAACTAGCATAAAGTGCTCGTAAATGTTGAACACTACCAATATTTCCACATAGAACAGTATGTAATATATATATGACAAAGAACAAAATTGTCGAAACTCTATAAATATCGATCTAAATAACACAACTAGGGGCTTGAGTGAGAACATAACCGTTTATTACCATAGGAATTGAGTTCAGTTTCCCTGCAAACGATGCAATTATATCATTACCGAGAAAAAACCAATTGTAATTTTACAAACAGTAGAAATCATGGGTTACAGATATATAATAAATTACTACGTTTTCTAATAATTGAAACTATATACTGTGAACTGCAGTAGATTAATTAACAAAAAAAAAATACCAAGCCCGCTACAAGCGATCACACTCAATTTTGTCGAAATAGAAAGAAATAAGAATTATTTTAAAATATCAGGTTGTTCGAATGAAAAACAAACAAACAAAACATCTGAACATTTATACCATACCCAAACTCTCACCATATAACATGACCCCCCCCCCAAAAGCAAATAATAACCAAAGCGATAATATTTTTACTATTTACTAATATCAATAGGAAACTATTCGGAATCTGGTACATAGAAAAACTAAATCTGTCATAAAATGTTTTTTGATATTTTTGTTTACAGTCTGTAAAAAATGGCATGAATATAGCTAAATTTCAAAGTTTACTTAAATAAACGTATTGGAATGAGTTGTTTTCGTCACCGCAAACTAAATCGATATTCCCGTCTCCGTCCATCTCAAGATATGCCACTACTCCGATGCAACGCTTTCTCTTTCCTTGCCAATCAATCCATGGTTGGAAGACGCCATTCTTGTTCAAAGTTATCACGATTTGTCTGTGAGATTCAAAAAAAAAAAGATTAGCAACAGTAAATATAGTTTTATTACTTAATAAGGTTATTTCACGGGGTGATTTTACTTGCTTGTGCATGTATTGTTTGATCATACTGGGATTTGGAATCCACCTATCAAAATAAAACTATGAATATCATTATGCTCCGATTTATAGTTGGTTGACAGGCCATCTGACTCGCAGATGACGGTCAGACCTAGTTTACTTATAATAACAGTTTCACAAGGCTGCAAGAATAACCGTCGTAAACGTATTGTAGACCCGGAAAAAAATTTCAATTTCTAATATTCTCAAGAAACAGAAATGGGACGACAATTTTGTTAACTTTGGCTTTATCAAAGTAAATCCAGATGGCCTAACCCTAGTAGAATGTGCGCAATGCGCGCATTACTCGTATTTTTTGGAATGATCAACAGAGGTGCATGAGTACTAAAGCCTTCAGAAGGGGGCCAAGAGCCATAAACGATTGGGTACCACTGGTATAGGGCCTATTCCAATCTTGTTTTTATATTGCTCTGGACGGGAAAAGCTAACTTGAAGTCTTTTGCGCAACAAATTGTTTCATTTCACTGACCCTGGACGTGAGTTTGACTGCTTTATTCTTTATAAACGCTATCATCTAATACTTAAAATTAATTTTGGCTCGCACTGGCTGGCATAAATGTAGTTTCCGCTGCATAAAAATAACGGATGACAGAGTTGCCACATTGCAATCCAGTGATACCGGTAAGTAACATCGACCAGCGATTTGATCCAGTTTGGGTCAGAACGGATCAGAAAACTATTCCGCTCCTTTCAAGGGAAATTACAATGCAATTGTTCGGCAGTTAAATATTAAATAATAGCATTGCGTGGTCTTTCATATCCTGTGACGTTCTTCCTATTATACTGCTCGAAGTAAATTTAATTTTTGTAAACTGACTTTCGATTATTTTACGTTTATGTGTATCGAATTTAAAAAAGCAGGGAAATAGTGAAATCGATGCATAGAAAACGACTTACTTTGTCACTTGGTTGTGACAGGCTAAATCATCTAATCCGTCTCTATTGAAATCTTGTACGTAAATACGTGTGTTTTCATCATCATCAGTAAAACTGCAATGTAGAGTTGTTCCCTCCCAATTGACCGTAGCTCCCATCGCTGCTTTGAATGGGTCGGTGTAGTACAATCGTCTGAAAGTCAACATTTGTATATATATAACAAGAGAGCGATGCTGAAATAAGTGAGAACGACGGACAATTGACTAATATTTTAAGCATGTAGTTTCCAAAACGCACCCAGTGTTTGCCTTTTCTTAACTTTTTATAAAAAAAATTTCTTAACTTTTTACAAAAACACTCAAATTTTGAAATAGTAATATAAAGGCTAACAGTAGGGAAAAGTATATAATCAAGAGAAAAAAGTCATTATTGGAATTGCGAAAAAACGCAACAATATACTGATACTTCAACAATGATGTTTTGTCGTTCTCAAAGCTTGGAAATACAAAACTAAACATTTCAATTACAATAATCCACATTACTTACGCGAATCCGTCTGGGTAAAGACAAAGTAAATCAGGAAACATATCTTTATTGAATTTCCCAATAAATAATTTTCCGTAAGGACATACGTTTTTTATAACGCTGATACTCTTGCTTTGAAACAAATCTGCAACTATGAAGTAAATTATTGTTGAATGGTTTGTAGAATAAGTAACACTTTAAAAAAGAAAAATACAATTTACCATCTCTTCCAGAAGAACACTGACTTTCTTGACAGCTTTCCGTTTCTTTATATGATCCCTCGCAGAAGTACGATTTACATTTCCTCGTTCTAGTGTGAATATACAATGATTGGTGTTTGCTTATTTACCAATGACTATAGTTATAAATGGAAAAAACGCTTTATTGAGGCTCATTCAGAAAAAAAAAACTTGGACTCTGATAACCAAATCTGTTTAAAAATCAATTTCTAATCTTGACTCCGGAAATTCCTTTTTTTTTCCAGATTGCGGATAAAAACAAAATCCGTGCAAGAAATGTAATTTAATGTTTGCTTACTAATTTTCCATATATTAAAAAACATGACAAAATTACAAAACAGAATCGAACTAATTATTTTGGTGAGGACTAAATAATTCATTAATTACACTGAAATCACTGATCGCGCTAAAAAAGTTTAAAGAACACTGCACTATCACGTCTGCTAAACTAGGTGGGATTAGGAGAACGTATACACTACGGCGTTGTCATTTGCCACAACCTCCTAACGTCAGTGCGTTTACAATCTTCTTTATACTTACTTCAACCTTGTTCCTGACCCGCAAGTTTTATCGCATTGTGTCCATCTACCCCAGTCGCCCCATCCTGTTGCACTTGTTTCGCTTGATTCAGAACCTGGAAGAAAAACCAGGAAGGTTAACAGGGAGCTTTGACAAATCTTAGTTGTTCGCAAAGTATCTTGATTGTCCACAATATAATATATACAGGGTGTCCAAAAAGTTCCGCCCGATTTCAAAGCATTACCAATTGCTAATTTGAATAAATTTGGTTGTATGATAAATGGGGACTACAACATTCAACATTCAATTAGAAACAGGTTGACTATAAATCTTTAAAAAAAAAAATAAAATAACATTTGATTATAAAGATATTATAATCGGGCGAAACTTTTTGAACACCCTGTACGAGTATATTGAAATTACTAACCGTGAGCGAGAAATTTGTATTTGGTGGAAATACATCTAATTTTGAACAGAAAGTTTTTTAATATAGATTATATTCATATTTTCTGTATATTTGCATTTTCAATTTATTTTAACCAAAAAAGGCCAAAAGTTGGTTTTTTAGTAGTTAAGTGTCGAAAAATTAATTTATTATCATAATCACTTCCGGATGTGTCCCCATATCCATAATCACTAGATCCGCACGGATTCATACTGCATGACTGGAAGCTGTGACTTGCACCAACACAGCTACCACTCACGGGACATGTTCTTTCCCTGCGAATAACGAAAAATGCTTTGTTTAATAATAATAATTAAGTGGATATTTTCTTTATTTGTGCAGAAAATAATCTTAAATCAGGTTCTGACTAACTAGAGTTTAGTACCGTGTTCCGACGAAGCTCCCACCCCCGTAAATATGACCAAGTCGATCAGTTAAATGGAATCTTCATTGAAATTTATGAATCTGGTGACTTGCAAGACATTCATCACAGGGGGTGATAATATGGTCATTTGATCTATGTTTAGCAGGTTTTTTAAAAAAATAAAAATGTGTTATTTATAAGTAAGTGGATTTCGGTTTTCGTATTTTGTATATTTGAAAATCTTGTATATCTCTACTTTGCAATTTTGTTTTTGATAAAAAAAATGAAAGCCATCCCCCCAAAATAAGCCCTAGTGTTATTTTTCGAAATAAAATTGAAATAAGACACTGACTTATTTTCGGAAAACATGGTAGGTATCGAAACGGAATCTCTTACTCAGGAGCGTTTATTCAACGCAATTCCTTATTGTCAAACATTCCTCGCCGAATAGGAAATTTCTGAACCGATATATTCCATAAAATGTCAATCAGGGCTAGGCAAATGATTCAAATATTTAAAAATGATTAGAATTGCAAATTATTTTGAGTAAGAGAGGAAAGGTGACAAGACAATTTAATCATATGGTGGACCCCCGTCGGACCTCCTGAAGTATGTGCACCAAGATGGCGCACAGCCTGAACATAGTAGTTGTACCAGGTTAGGGTTCAGGTTGTGCGCTATCTTGTTGCACATACTTCGTGAGCCCCCCCGTCTCTCTCTCGACCGGTTACCAAAACATGGCGGGTATAGGAGTACTTGAGCTGTTGTTTGTTTCAGATGCATGAACTTGATGCTGGTGGTGGCCGTAACCACATCGCCGTAAATCAGATAACTAGTGGCTTTGCAAAATTATTGTTTCAAGTGAAATCACTTAAAAGGAAGTTTTACTTTTGCAGTCTATAAATGAATATTCCTAAAAAAGCGTTTGCTATTTTAGAGGTAAATTGAATGCACTTTTCTTAAGAGTTTGATCTCACTACTATGGTAATGTACAATAGTTTCTTTTTCTACTTATATATGAAATGTTCAATTGGAAGTTGATAGACCTGCGACAAGACTCGGGACATTCGATTTAATTTATAGAAACAGACTATATTCGAGTTATAGTAAAATATTAAATTTCGGCAAGCTAATTCAAACTTGTTGTTATATCATTATTGCCATTAATCCTAGACCTATAATTCCTAACTATGCCGTTACCTTGTCCATTGTCCTTCTCCACACGTGACGTCACAAGTTGACCATTGACTCCATTCGCCCCACTGGTTGGATGACCCTGAATAAAAAATATAAACGAGTTGTTGTTTTTCATTCTTTGACCAATAAGGCAATCTCCGTGTCAGGGCACCAGGAATAGTAAACATGACTAGCTATCGACATTTCATGAGATATTGAGGACACCCAATGTTTATCCATATCAGGATTTAAAAATGCTCTAAAATTGGTTTATTCCAAGGGAATTCCAAAAAAAGTTATCAAACACTCATCGAAGCGTAAGTAACAACCGTAAACCTGACATCGAAAGCTAATAATTCATATTTACCACCGACTGCTCCTCCAGGTGCTGCTGTTGTGACAACGTTATTTGAATTTGTCGAACCAGATCCAGCAGGTTGTCCTGCACAAGCTCTAAGCTCACATTCTCTAACTCTTACGTTGCCATGTTCGCTCAAATTTGGTACATCATCTGGAATGGCACAGCGTTTGATTGGGAGATATTCTTCATTCTGAATAAGAAAGCGTAATCAGTAGTTTATTTTTTCGCCATACATGAAATACACAAAATGGATACAGAATATAAAAAGGAGGAAAAACGGTAATTCGGAGTGAAAGAAGTCGCGAGAAACCAATACTGGTTATCGATCGGCGACAACTGTGATAAAATCTAACAGTAATTAAAATACAATGAAAACTTCAAGAAGAAATAGAAATCGAGACGACCTGAACATCCAGGAGACGCCCAATACACGGAAAAACAAAAAAACGACTCCAACCACATATGTGCGAGTAACCATGGGAACGACAGAAGGAATGCAGCGCGAAAACAGAATACTAATATCATAGCGTTAGTGCATTATGGAACTGATAGTCATTTGATTTTACAGGATTACACATGTTTTTTGTGTTCACATGTTTGCCAGTGTTCGGATAAGATTGCGTGAAGACAACTGCAAGTGCTGAAGTAAGGTGATTTGTGGCGGAATCGACATCGTCATAAATACTTAAAATATATACCGGTAATAGATAAAAAAAAAATTAGTCTAATCTGAAAAAATACAAGCTAACTCAACAACGTAAATGGGGTTAACAATAAATAGCATTGTAAATTAGCCAGCATATGTACCGCATGGAATCATTGGCATTGAGAGCGATTGTTATAAGAAAACAAAATGGCATTGTGGTTAAAGCGTTGGACTTAGCTATGTTGTTATCGGAGGTGAAACATCCTGTTCTCAGATCTCATGTAACACAACTACTAACCTATAGTGCAATAAATTGGGTAGGAAATGCCGTACCTGAAATGTGTTACAGTCCTTACAAACCACGATAGCCCCTTGCCTAGTTGAGTCTTACATAGTGTGAAAAGCGTGTAAGAAAATCTCAAACGCTCCAGAGAGCAACATGAAAATTCTTCGATGAAATTGGAATAATATCTGTTACGTCTATCGTTGTTGTTGTTAACGAAACCACAAATTTACTTATTTGTAGGATTTTGAATTGTAGCGGTAAATGAAATTGTAGAAAACTGAAAATTAACTTACTCTAGCACAAGTTCTAGTAGAAGTCTGCTTTCCTTTTCCACAATGTTTATCGCAGACCATCCAATTGGTCCACTGAGTCCATGTTCCAAACGTCTCAGTCATGACTTCTATTTTTACATTGTTAAAATAAAATTATACTTGTAAATATTACTCAAAACAACGGTAAAAAAATCGAATCAGTAGCGTGTCAGTGACAAGTATTATTAATATCTGTAGCTTCCGGTCGTTCCATAATAGCTCTTGCTGGCTATGTAACAGTTATTTCTAGGCTCGGAGCAAAGCTTCCCTTTTTATGTCGCTATTTTTTTAGTTGTTAATATAATTCAGTGAGAATACTTGTCAAATACTGACGATAGAAGTATGAAATAGTATCGTAACAATTTATTCCATTCAAAAATTGCATCGAATAACTTCCCCTGCAGTCGAATCTTCACAGACGCTGTAAGGAGCGCTTGAACTTATAGTATAGTATAGCGTTCCAAATATTGAAATTTAGAAAAGCTAGCGCATAGTTGGTTTATATTCATGTCGAGGATAAATAAACCTGTGTTAGCAAAACAATGTATTTTGCCGACGTTTCAAATATTCATACAGATAAACTTCACCACAAATTTAGACTGTTGGAAGTAGCCATATTGTGGCATCGCAAAACTCTTGCTCATCTCACTACCCTAGAAAAAATACATTGATTAGGCAAGGTGACTAAAAAGATTCCGTATCGGTGGCTGATTGTTTTCATTAGCCTTATTAGGAATAATTGTGTGCAAAATCTCAATAGGCTCATCCATGTTAATTTTGCACTTGACCACATTATTGTTTTTATTCCGATGAGACCCGTCCAATGCATGTAAATAAAAGTCAAAGTTCTTACTTTCTCCAGTGTCACAGAAAACCTCATAGCATGGTTTGTAGTTAAAATATTCTCCTACGCAAGCCAATACTTTACTACATTCTCTGGATCTAAAAATCAGACGTGATAATTTAAAAGTAATTGCCAAGGAAATACGGTACTCCTGTAGTATGCGAACCAAGATGGGGGACACCGGAACGTAGTATGTGTACCAGGTTGGGATTAGGCCATCATTTTAATTCAATTTTCCTTATTTCAGTACTATTACGAGTTCGGGGATCAGTCAAGTGACTCCCGTAGTATTTGTACTTAAAATTATGGCATAACCTTAACCTGGTACACATACTACGTTCCGGTGTCCGCCATCTTGGTTCACATACTACGGAAGTACCGGAAATACACATTCATATTTAATAGTATTTAACCGCACTTCCAAAAATTTGATTTACCGCTATATGTGAGCGGGTGGAAAAACAGAAATTTCTGTAAACGGGTTCTTGCTGGACAAACTGTATATTTTATTTGAAAAAAAATATTTTATAGAAAATAAAATTTTATATTTTTAAACTCAAGGATTTATTTTATTATGCGGTATTATTTCCTATTTGAAGTATTTTAAGAATTCTACAAAAAATTTACTGCATCATTCGTCCTGGCCCACATGTTGCTGAGCAAGATGCCCAGCTGCCCCATTCTTTCCATTCCCCATCAGGTGGCGGACATTCAGCAGTATTGCATTCTTCGTAATCTGATGGCAATCCAGGGCACCTTGAAGCGTTAAATGAGTGTGAGTATTATGGTCTAGTGCAAGGCTCTCCAAACTAGCGACCTCGACACCTCGATGGGTCTCAATGGGTAACGCGGTATGTTTCAAGAACAATATTAAAGTTTAACAATAAAACATTTTGATTAGATGAGGAAAACAGATCCTTCACGAAGCTGAACGTTACACGACTGAGTGGAATTAGAAATTTTTTATTTAGAGAAACAAGGATGCCTCCTTCAGTCAAAAAACAAAACAAATGTAGACGAGCATTCATGCGCGACGAAACTATTGTTTCGTCACAACTTTGGCTTACTGGGAAGGGATGGAATTTGAATGACTCATGAAGAGAGTTGATAGGATATTTCTAAAATTTAACAACTAGCCACTCACCCATCAACAAGTTTTTCTCCAGTTGCTTGGTGTATACAATGTCGATATCGCTGCCTTTTCCCATCGCCACATGTTTGGGTGCATTCACTCCAATTATTCCACTCGTTCCATTCACCTGAAAAATCAGACTTTTGTGAATAATAAAGTATGCAATGTGATATTTTTTGTTTATAGATCGTTTCGTTAAAATTTTTTTATATTTTCTTGGGTCACAAGATTGCGCCAACGCTCTATTAATATGGCCATGTTCGTGTTCAACGCAGGGTTTCGGATTTGAAGAAAGTTCACACCCGGTTTCAGGCCATTTCCGAAACGACGTCGGCTCCGGATCCCGACCCCAGTTTGACAAATTGATTCCGGCTTCGGAAAGTCTGAAAATGCGAATCTGGATCCGACTTTGGTAAAAACATGTCAAACTTCGACTCAAGTCTCTGATACCAACTCCATAGCGCTTGTCTTTGGCGTGTATTGAGATAGTTGGAACTGTATATAATAATTAACTTGAATTATGCTGAAACACATAACCATGCCACGTGTACGGGTTCGGTGTGGTTGCATGTAAGACTTGAACGCAAAACTTGCGTGTTTTGTGTAACTTTGAGCAGTATCCTTTAAAATTCATTGATTACAAAATACACAAAATTTGGGTGAAATATCTCAAAAGGAAATTTCAATCAAAATAAAATTAAAATGTCCTTCAAGCGGCTTCTTCCATTTTGAGGACTGAAAATTTAAAATCCGATTGTTTCAGTAGTTGCGAAAACAACCGATTTCCCAACAACAACATCAAGTTAGCAAAGCGATCCATATGTATGTACACTGGGTGTCCAGAATCAGGAAAATTTCCCCCAGATGCCATGTGTCAAACTCACCTGTTTTTTTATTCGGCCCACTGTCCTTACATTTGTAAAGCAATCGAATTTCATGTAAATCTTCAGCCGTTAAAAAATTTTCTTCATGTTTTTTCTTAATTATTACATTCCCTTTGCTTAAGTATGAGTATAGAAATGTAAACAGTTGAAATAAATGAAAAATGAATCTGTTGAAAATTTTTTTACAATATTTTATGGTGAATTCCATATAATAATAAATAAAGTGTTGTGGCATAGTTTTTAATTTCCTGTGTTTGCCCATTTTTTAATGTAAAATTTGTGATTTGTACTGGGAAATAATACTTAAATATATGGACACTAAGATCAAAAGACTACCACGATAACAGAAATGTTTCAACAAAATGTTAAATAAATTTTACCTAATGCAATACCGGGAATCCTCGACTTACGACGTTGTTTCATTCTTGAGATGCGGTGTAACCCGGATTTCAGTGTAAGTCGGAACATTATACTTTAAAGTACATAAATTACTCTATACATATCGTACTGTATTGTCCACGTCATTTACGATACAAAGGACGAAAACCAATGAGCCCAAAGAACTGATTTTCTTGATCACAATGATCCAGTTTAAGGGCTTAGATATTACAGTACAGTATTATCGTAACCTCAAAACAGCGTAAAAGTCGCGACCGTCGTAACCCGAGGACTCTCTGTATATCTTTCATGAATCAAAATGTTGGTGAAAATATTGGGCACGGAAAGACTCGAAATTAATATAAAAATAAATAAAATTATTTATCCAGCAACTTTTCAAGTCAAATTATATTTATGCCAAATTTTACAAAGTTAAAAATACCTATAGAGTGGTTTAATTGTGGAATAATCTAATCTAAAATCTATAAATACGACTAAAGACAATTCAGATGTTAAAGCAAGTTGTCTTACCCTGTTATTGTTGGCTTACTCTTATCCACAGCCCAACAGAAGCTCATGTAATGCATCCCAGATGTTATTTCGTACTCTGATCCTAGATCTATCAGTTGTTCCGATTCCTCTTTATCAAAATTGTGAGATGTGTCTATCAAGCAAAACATGAATAATATAAATGAGTGTTTTATTCATTAAATAATATGGATTTTCTTTCGTCTAGCTAGCTCAATGGATCTTGAATATTTCCATTTGATCGTAATTAAGATAGAAACGCTGCGAAAATCATACGCATTTCGTTATCAATTGATAGTTCTTTTGTTTTTAACTTTCAATTTCTGTCAGGCCAGAAAATATTAGTTGCAGAGCCATAATGTTGCGAATGTCAACATTATTTTAAGGGCCTCAAAACCAGTCATGGAATGGTATTTATTACTTATCCATCTTGATCGGTAAGTATGTTGATATGTATTTGTCTGTCAGACACTTTCGTATGTTACGCGATATCTCACGAAGTTGAATCTGCTCCAAATTTTGCATGTGCATTTATCATATCTCGAACCGAAGCTTATTGATTTCGGATGAATTATGTGAGTATGTTGATAGTTATTTGTCTATCTGTCTGTTTGTTTGTCTGTTAGATGCACGCGATATCTCACGAAAGCGAGATTGAATCTGCTCCAGATTTTGCATGTGCATTTGCATGCAGTATAATTAGCGAGTTATTAATTAATTAGTGATGGGACACAAGGTGTCACTATGGAGTAAGAGCACTGTTTTGGGGATCCCCTAACTTTCGATCGATAAGTCTTCGGTCTCTGACTGATATTATCGTTTATTAGTTGATAGCTAAAACTTCAGCTGAAACTTCCAAATTTGACTATAAAGTGGTTGAATATTGGCCGTCAAGTATCTAAACTTTAGATATAACTAATGCTGTATTTAATCAGACCAAACACAGTTCCTTTTTTCCTAAGTCGAAAAGTTCCGTGGTAACGTGATAATCACGACACATAGTTTGAGAACCACTCGGACTCTAGCTATCAGAGCGTTTCAGCGCTCTAGTAAGCGCAAACTGGTTTGAATTCACCATTTGAAGCGACTGATAATACAAAACGAGAATATCGGTCGGAGACCGAAGACTTATCGATCGAAAGTTAGGGGATCCACAGAACAGAAACTGCGGTTTCGATTCATCCGCCCTTACTCCATAGTGACACCGTGTGTCCCGCCACTAATTATACGACAAAATTCATCCAAAATCAATAGGCTTCTAGTCCGAGATATCATAAATGCACATGCGAAATTTGGAGCAGATTCCATCTCGCTTTCGTGAGATATCGCGTGCATCTAAACAAACAAACAGACAGACAGACAAATACCTATCAACATAGTTATCGAGATCGATGAGTAATAATATCAACTGATTTCAATTTAGTACGTTTTATCCTTATTCGGGGTCGGTTTTTACGTCACTGCGATAAAAAATAAAGCTCTTCTGAAGACGAAACAATTTGTTTAGTTTATATTTAAATTTTTTCAGACGTTTATTATCTCAGCAAGTTTTTATGTAATCCCCGTATATTATGCTGGTCCGTAGAAAAGTTGAGTGTGTACTGTTCGCACGTTTTAATGTAGTCGGTCAAACGCTTAGCAAAGACGTACAACCAAAGCTTCATTTTTATTTCAATGCCACTCTACTTATTGATGTAGTTAGAGTATGATTATCGGCGATGACATTCATTAAAATAAAATATCGAAATAAGCTCATTGACGACGATATGAGATTGGTGTCTGTCGTCCACTTTGCCATAAATCTTAGCATCCCATAATAGCTATGAGTTTTCTTGAAGGCACGGGCAGCAGAACTATCCATCTAGAATTGTAGAAAAAAAAATATTGTACATACATTTATCGAGGTTATCCCAATGAATATCGACATATGCATCTCGATCCTTTCTTGATTGCTCGTGATAGAATCCGAGTGTATGCATCAGCTCATGCTGGATTGTTGCTTCAAAAAAACATCCTTCTGGCAGATTAACCAACTGCCTTCCACCAGCTCTGCCAATATGTGCCCTGAATATGCATAGAAGTATATAAATTGGCGACATAGAAATAAAATATACAGGAACCATATTTGTACACTGATTGTAAACTAACGCTAAACATTTCAGCACGATTCACAGCTCCAAATTGTAGCTATATATACTAAACCTTAAGTTCATACCATTACTACAAACAATTAAAAACATTATACGAAAGTATAAGCGTGCCCTAAATGGGCCCGTTATTCAAACGTACCAATGATTTCCCTACATAATTTTGAGCTTTTTATTCCCTTATAATATCAGCAACAAAATGTGGGTTATTTTGCAAATCCAAATATTTCAGTCTGATAGGTCAATGAGGGCGGATATCTGCTAATGATGATAACACATAACCAATCTCATAAAGAAGATTCCCTATTTGGTTATAAATAATCGCTAACTAGACGCCCGAATATAAAACGCTGCGCGTAGTAAATGCGAGTTGTAGTATGGGTTTGCTAATATCTGAAAAGTCCACTATATTATGAATAACATTTTTGGGCGGTGATCCTAAAAAGTCCAGCCTAAATCGCACAATGTCTGAGAATAGCCTACTCGTGTTTCCGACCCAATGGCCCCATCATGGGCCTACTAGATGCGGCGTTTTTCCGATCATTTGAATAGGATGATTTAATATTTGTCAGAAGAGAAAATTTACCATGAATTTCACATATTAAATTGATAAAGTCGTTTTGAAATTGCGTTTTCCAGATAGGAGGTAGGTTGGGACCCTTTTTTTTTCGCATTTTTTGAGTCTTAACTTGCATTCATTCATTTGACCCTTACGGGACTAATGCAGAGAGGGGCAAATGTAGTTTTTATTCTCGACTAAGAAATTCTCTGGTGCACAATGGGACGGTCGATCAAATTGAACGAAACATGCCGTTAAAAATCAGCATCTCAAGAACTCTGGGCATCAAATTTGGAGAGATTTGGCATTGTTCCCCATAGGCATCAAACTATTTCAGACTGAACCCCCCAAGTGGGCTAAAGCAAAGAAATACCGGACAGTAGTATGTCGCTCTAAACGGCCGATGCCCGTTTGCGGACGGACGTCGTTCCGCACCGAAAGGCGGATTCAAACATCGAAAACATGCATAAATACAGGTACAGTAAGAGTCGGAGAGCTGATTTACCAACGTGCCCCACCTTCCCCTGCCAGTTTTGTCTTTAAAACTATCGATTGCTCAGTGTTTGGGGCACATAATTTAGTGAATGATTAATTTACCGTTGTTTATAAAAACTACTTGCCCAATGCCCATCTATTCATTACATGAAAGAGCAGGGATTCCAGAATACAGTGAATCGACGCAATTTTTCAAATCCGTCGGGGTAATTGACTCGAATGGTACCTGACTCACCAACTCGAGAATTGTACTTTGAAAAACCTGACCCTTCACTAAACTTGGGTGCCAATATGATTTCAGCAATAATTCTAGCTATCGGCGTAATTCTATTTTTTCAGTCTCCAGATTATTGTCATATAAAATATTGAAATTTGTTGTTTTTGTATACTTTTTTTCATCCTTTTCAAAATTGAACTACCATTTTTGGGAGACACAAATACCACATGATTTATTGGAATTTACGATCCAATTCTATATTAGTTACATAGCTTTCTGCAATTAAACGACCCCAAAACGCTCAAAAGCTGCAAAAAATTCACCACGCCCTAAATTTGGAAACACACCTCCTAAAATGAAAAGTTTGGGAACATACTGAAACGTGCACGATACTGCCAGACTCGCTTTAAATTTTTCTGGAGTAAAAATGGCACTTACGAACAGCCTTGCCCTCGGCTCATAATTTTGAGATAATCTGGTTCGTTTTCTGTTCTTGGTATAAAATCCAAGCAAGTTCGTTGCGATAAATTTCGCATTGACATGTCAAATTCTTTGTAAAAATCTTCAGCTATGAAATAAAAGCGTTGATATAAAATTGAGTTAATTATCTCTATTAAGCATGATTATATAAATATAAATAAACGTAATTCATATTTCAGCATCATAACGTATAACTCACTAATAACTTCGTCAAGAATGTAAGGTATTTTATATCTTCCGTCGACTTCAATATTATCCCATTTGTTGTCTCCCCACGCGTAAAATAGTTCGAAATCTTCGTCTTCTTCGCTATGACCAAAATCCTACAAATTGAATAATTTTCGGTTTCACTACTCATATATATAAACAAAATATTAGCCGAGAACAGAGCTTTAAACCGTATTCCATCACCCAGTATGACAAAGCACAGGAGGGTCAAGAAAGGTTCAAAGATGCCTAGCCATTACAGTAATGTAACCGTAATATTTCTCAAATTTGACAACACCAATAATATTCTCTCTCTACTATAACAACAGGTTTTTGCTATCAAAGTTGGGTACTCCCGTTGTATGTGAACCAAGATGGCGGACATCGGAGCGTATATGTGTACCAGGTTGGGTTAGGCCATAATTTCAGGTACAAATACTACGGGAGTCACTTGGCTAGTCCCCGAACTCGTAATAGAACTAAAATAGGGAAAATTGGAATGAAATTATGGCTTAACCCCAACCTGGTACTTGTGGTACATATGCTACGTTCCGATGTCCGCCATCTTGGTACGCATACTTCAGGAGCACCCAAAGTTGTGTTTTTTGACTCATCACGATGCTTACTGAATGTGCGCATACATTTATGTAAGTCGGTTGCACTTTTTTTAAACTAGGTTTTATATAAGCAGTCTTATATCTATATTTATACAAGCAGTCTTATATATCTTATATTCTCAGTAACGTTTATTTTCAAATATAGTATTCGAATCGTTTCATCATCTTCAAGAAGTCGGCAAATTGCCGGTAGGCCTCGAACATAAAGATATTTCGAAAGTGTACGGGAAAGAATTTAAATGTACTTTTATTACGAGGTAATTTCAACTAAACTCTTAAATAAAGAAGCATATTTTAGACGCTTGACATCTGTATTTCCGATATTTTTAGTTTTTCACTGATTCGAAAATTACACCAAATGGAATAGCCTTCTGAATATTTTTTGTTCAGTCCTAATCGTAAATAATTTTAAACTGCATTGTTAAATATTGTCGAAGAGAATCTGAATGGATACAAAGTCTTATCCTACCTTCATCATTTTTGGAATTTCATCCTCGTTGAATTGAATATCTCCTTGAAACGATCCGGATTCAGCACAATCACAACTATTTGGACACTCAGTTTCTTCGTCTTGTGCAAATCCGAATGGGCAGGGTGATGCGCATTGTCCGTAGTCAAAATCGCACATAGTTTCTAGACAAACGAAAAAAACAACTGTAATATTGTGGAGCATTTGAATTTGTTTTCGAAACATATCTCAAACACGGAGCACTGATCTACAGGTGGAAAATGTTCTGCGAAAAGGCTGATTGTTGGAGGCTTGGGGAAAATATGATTACTGTGGTAATGTGATCATATTTATTGGTTAATATTTAGACAAAGATAGAGAGCATTTATTCATCATTTATAATATTAGTACTGCATCTCTGACTATGCAGCAATTTCAAGCTAGCGATGTGAAAGTATATGCTTTGACAGCAATACGGGTTATAAACTCCAAGTAGAGATTGACAAAATTATACAAAAAAACTTTATAGTTTTATTAATGCTTAGTGATAGTTACATTATCTTTAAGCAATGTTGGCGTATCAACAAGAATTGCCAGAGTTTACCTAAACATTCTCGTCTTGTCACCGGATCTAAAAGAACTGTAATCTTTTTTCCTGCTGAATATTGTGCAAGAAATTTTTCACACTCGGTTGGCGCACCACCTAAAACGAAAATCTTATGTGAATCTGAGCAAAATTGATAAGAAAAAAGTTTTTTTAACTAAAAACTCAATATAGGTGCACAGTTTTCTTTATCTAGAAAAATAAAGGTAATGGTTAGGGCTTTTATCAATAGGGACAAGAAAACTTGAATAATAGAGTCTGATGATGGCTGCATTATCAACCCTAAAATTACGATGGTGCTATATTTAAACACGAGATCAATGCTCAAATATTTGAAGTTATATTAAAATGTTCCTATATTTCATGTAAAATTTTCTCACAAATTAAAATACAAAAGCGAAATTTTGTGCAAATTAACGAGTCGAAAAAAATTTGAAAAATAAAATAGCAAAATCATAGCGTTCTATCGGTTTCTGAAAACTTGACATCCATTATTGCGAAGAAAAGCGATTTTCAGAACAGTAGCAATTCATCAAGACGAATCATATTCAATCCTTGTTTTCAAAACTAGATTGAGAGTGGTAACAAATTTATTCCATTTTTGAATTTTGGTGAGTAAGATTTTTGTTGGCCTGTTTGATCACACTCACCGATAACTGCAACACCCAATACTACAACAGCAAGCAACGCCAGTAGTCCAACTGCGACTGAAATGGTGAGTTTTTTGGTTGAATCGTCGTTCGGAGACTCTGAAAATGGAAAAGATTAATTTATATGCTAATATATTATGGAAACATGCCATGCCTTTTAATTCAATTACATGAATAACATTAATTTAGAGGCGTGGCGTATAATTATTCTTTCTACTGATATCTTTCATATTAAACATGGATTATGTTTCACCTGAAATATATATTTCAATCATCAGCGCAGCCCCCATCCCAGATATTAATAAAAGGAAGTAGTTAGGATCGGATTTACTTTTTTATATCGGGTAGAGGAAAGGGTATAATACGGCTTAATCATATGGCGAACCACGACCTCACATCCGTTAATAGTCCATGTCGGGTACGGTATGATAATAGGAGGTTAGACAACCCCCGTGTCCGTACTTTCGATTGGTACTTACTTTGTCGATCTTTTGCTTCCATTGTTTTTGAATTGGTTACAATATCGCTAAGATGTCTTTATCCTGCAATTAAATTAGCCTACTGGGAAATTTGTGTATACGACACGAGTTAACGTTACGGTATTCTTGAATACTGGTTTCATCTACAACAATTTTGATTTACTCATCTTAGCTAGGTAATCAAGTGCCGAAATTGTGCCAAATTAAAGCAAGTAACGCAAATTAGTCAGTAAAATCTGCTTAAGCGATAACTTACAGTATTCTTCTAATAGCTTGGACTTATTCTGCTTAAATGTGCAGACTTTGGCATTTTAGTGACTCGCAGATTTATTCAAGAATATTAAAATGACTACTTCTGACTTTTGAGAAAACTGATGCATAAAAAAACTACGTCGCAATCACGCAAAATCCGAACGTTACAGCAATGTCCATACATACGCTTGTCAAGAAGCAGCTGTCTCCAGCAATAGTCTATTGTTTTTATTGTTGTGTCATAAGAAAAGCGGTTGAATCAATCACTTTGAATTAATATTCATGACGGTTGCCAGATTAAAGGTAACTTTTTTGTTTTTTTTATTGGCAAGTTTTTTTTTACATAATTCTGATAGGCATAGATATAATGTATAGTTGATGAAATTGCAACATATACATAGTTCAATAAGTCAAATAGAACATATAAATAGGTATTCTCGGCTAAAGTTTGAGATGATTCACGCGAAACGTATTCACAAGAACTGCATACTGCTGGTTGTAACAGTTCTCATCATAACACAGAGTCTTTTCCATAATTTTGTGACCAGCTAGGAATAAATATTTATCCTCAGACTTAATTCTCGCATATAAAATATTAAAAATAGCACAAATAAAACTAAAAAATTAAATTCGACATCGGGTGTATTGTATTATTTGATATTTATTGGTACGCCCTTCGCCCAACCTAATTTCTCGGATCAAGACTCGAGAGTACACACTATCTCATGGATTGTTAAAATTTGCAATCTAATTAGTTTATATCCCAAATTTCATAAGCATAGATACATCGGACTAGTGTAATGATGAATTTTTATTTATTCAGTCAATGTCTTCGAAAAATTCAGATTTTAACGCTGACTTCACACGATAGAAACACTGTCCGTTAGAATCTGCCCCTCTCTTTGATTTATCGTAGGATTGTCTGTTAGTTGCCAGGCATTCTGCAATCATTTTATCGCATAAGCATAATTTACGTTTCCATAATTCCATGTCATCTGAAAAGAAATAAACTTATATATAAATAGATTAGTAGATTCACATTTGTACCATTTTTAAAGTATTGATATTTTTGACTTGTAATTTTTTATTTAACCAGGCTTGAGTCGATCATCATCTACAAGATGATCACACTCAGATATCAAAGGTGACATCATGAGTAACTTTTGGTCAATTAGATATTTATATTGAAAATACAAAGGCGTTTAATGCTTTATCAAAAACTATGATCCACTAACTCACCGCACAGTATCTCATTATCTAAACATCTATAATGATATACTCCTGTAAATCGAAGCATTTCGTTCAATTTTCTTGTAGCGAGGTAATTTCTTACTCTTATGTAACAATTGTCATGTTCAAAGCAACACCTAAAAACGAAATAAATACTACTTTTTAAATTGACCCAATAAACCTTCGGATTCACATATTCTATAATTGAAGAATAAGAAGAGTATATATATCTAACACAAAATTGAATAAAATAATCTGACGGCAGTGGAGAATTAATTCGAGGTGTTACTCATATTATCTGTCTATTTATTGATAACTCATATTTCTTACATATCACTTTCATCAAGCGGATCGCCTTTTCCACCGCTGCCACACCAGCATCCATAGTTATTGTAGTTGTATAAAGCCCAAAACACGTGCCAGCTGCTCCTTTCTTGAGCACACTGTATGACATGTGCAAGTTGATAAATATTTCGTTTTTTGATATGATGAATTTCCTAAAATAATAAAAGTGGATAAGCACCAACGAGGATTAGGCTATCTATCTAAAATATGTTTGGCGGATAAATAAATATTAGAAACATAAGAGCAGTACCTAATGTCATATAACAGTGTTCTTGTGTTAAAATAGCTAAATTTGACTATTTTTTGTTTATCATAACGGCACTTGACATATTAAAATATGGGATGTTTTAAAAATTCCTGCTGTTGACAAGCCCCTTTTTTGATTTATTTTTATTTTTTAATTGAACACACTTAAAATATTTGTTTACTTTACCTATGATACATAGTTACATACCTGATTCGATGTCTCTTTGCTCATGGAGCATGTTGTCACCAACAATATAACACACACTACTGACTTCATATTGTTAAAACTTGTTTCAAATATCAAGTAAGTAAGCTAAGTTAAATTCGTCGTATTTAGTCTAAGCAATGTCAACACAGATGAGACATTTGTACCTTTATTATTTATTTATTTTTAAAGTTTTTAACATAAGATTATTATTTCAACATCACTGTTCTCAATTAAAACATTTTATATCAACCACGCTCCAAATATTAGATAGATTAGATAACGTGTAAATTGTAGTTCGGCTATATCTTCAATTTATTGAAATTAAACCCCTGTTTTTAATCCATCTGGCGATGTGTTACTCTGGTCAAGATGAAAAAGCACAATCCTAAATAGGACCTCCTGGAGTATGCGCACCAAGATGGCGCACAACCTGAACTCAGGTTGTGTACCAGATTAGGGTTCAGGTTGTGCGACATCTTGGTGTGCATACTTCAGGAGTACCCCTAAATCAATATACTACCTAAACAAGAGATAAAAATGTACTTCTGTAACTGACTCTTGCATTAAATCAAACGATTGACATTGTAGATATCACATTTTTATTATTCCAACCATTGTTTCGAATAGGTATGAAAGATGTTCCGGCTTACTGTTATAGTATGATGGAAAGAACTGACCTCCAATACGAAACCTGACCTGACATATTATCAATATATGAATAGTTCTATCGATTTTTCGTGTCAATGCCACACACATTTCCAATGTTTTGTATAGTGAGACTTTGAGTGAATTCTTATAAGTTTGTATAAATCATAACCAACTAAGTATGAGCCTTATCTGTCGAATACTTGATAAGTAGAATAAATAAAGATAAGGCAATCACACCAGTTTCCCCGATCGATTGCGTTCATGCTCGACCGCATATACCGACACAACCATATTCGAGTAAAATTTTTGTGTAAGATAAACGATGTCATGTGGGAAGTTAATCAATCAATTGATTCTCAAGTACCGATTTACGTCTAAATAAGGTATCGAAATCATAGGCCAACTTTTATAGTCTAATTCACGTGACTGATAGCAGATTATGTAATTAAAATTCAGATTTTTAGCAATACGTAAGTTTGAGGAATCGTTTCCAAAATACTTCGAAATCTCACTTTAATATTTGTTATGCGTAATAGTGGAATTTGTTTTGTTGTGATTACCTCTAAAGTAGTATTTGTTGGTTTCATATTTAATAATATTATAATACTACTACATATTTTAAATGTATGTCGGATTAAGAAACCGCTATGTTATAATTCGTAATTTTACCTGCCAATTTCCTGTCAGACTTGGTGAAAGAAATCCGCGTCGACCCACAACATTGCATAAATCAATTTGATTCAGAATTTGATCTAAATTAACATCTTAACCTTGTACTTTTGGGCATTAAATTAATTCAATTTTGTTAAGTTTTGTAGCTATTTTTGTATAACTATACTATACGAAGGCGGCTAACTTATCGTTCATGATATATTTTGATTATACTTTGGTTTAATCTACGCGATCTAACTCAAGCCCTATGGATAATTTGCTACTTCTATGCGCGGGACCCGTCTCGATCTAAACTCAATTAGCCACAATAGCATTCAGAGTTAAAACTTAATGATGTTTCCTCATGAGCATTACGACTGATACTGTCAAGCATTTGCAATTGGCAGTATTATACACCGGTAATTTCCATTTTTTAATTCGGCATTCGCGTAAATTTTTGATGAATCATTCGTTTATTTTTGTTTGAGGTCAATAAGTTCAAAAATTATGTTAACCTTGGCCGAGGTTTATCTAGGAATAAGAACAATTGATGCTTCACGCGATAAGTGGATTGAGTATTAAATCTTCATGGCGGGTAAAACTATTTTAGACAAAATTACCTCTTTACACCATTTGATAATTAATTATAAGCTTAATTAAGATTTTTCCAAATTCAGTAGATTTTGTGTATTATAGGCAGCTTTTATATAATAAAGCTGTCAATATTACATCGCCTTACTGAAAACTTGAACCTGTTGTTTATGTATATAATCGATGTTAAGGTGAATATTTAGTAGTTAATCAGGTATATACTAATGATGTGAGATAAAAGGGCAAATGAATCACCAAAAAGGTATGATAAATGTCGTACGTTTTGCAAAAGATATAGTAAATGGTGTCGGTATTGTGATAAAAGCCTAGGAAAAAGTTTTCGAAATTTTGTATTATATGTTATAAACAAGAACAAAAAAGTTAAAATAGAATGGAAAAATATACTCGAGTTGAGAGAAGCTCGAACAATTATTTGTGAATGTTTTAAAATACCTGTACTCGAAAAATGCTAATATTTGTATTTAGAATATATTGTACGCTGTTGAAAAGTGGATTGAACCGAGAAGTAATAGCGGTCTATTGTAGTTCTGCACGCTTGTCTTATTTAATAGATTTCTCAATTTACGATAGAGATTTAGTGCAAATGTAAAATTGAAGTGTGAGTCGTAAATAAGAGAAGTTAGTTTTCAGTTTTTATCTAATGGCTATAGTAGTATTTCCATAATCTTAATTTGCCAACAAAATATCTTTTGCATATCAGTTGTCGAAGTCGCTAAAACTGATCTTCTAGTTCTCATATTTGTACTACAACCTTATGTTGCTGCCAAAACATGATAGATGTATGATAAAACAAAAAAATTCTTTGAAAGTTAAAACTGCGTTCGAGTCCCTCAAACTCCGTGTTTGCATGACAAAATATATCAATGTTCTATTACCGATATGCCATATTTTATAGCGATTGATCAAGCAAAGTAAAAATTATGTGAATTGATTTTGTCAAAAACTTTTTTTCACATATCAGATATTAAATTCTGGCAACATGTCGTAAAAACGTACATTATCTTCAATATTTTTATAGCGTTATTAGAATGTCCATGATAATATCTTTTATGGAAACGACGCCATGCGTCCGGACAACTGGTTTCATGTTTCATTATCAAAAACAAAATTTGCAAATTGCTTGCGAGCATAACGGTGTGATGGTATTCGATATTCTACTTGGTTCTTCTTTTTATATAAAACAAATCTATCCCATAATTCATAAGGAAATTCGCACATGCTTAGCATTCGAATAAACATTTTTTTAGAGTAGAAACGAGTTAAATTTACTTGTGGAAGTGAGTATCTAATTTCATATAGGAATATACACTTCAAGCTCATTAGATACTTAATAACTAAAACATTGAGTCATGGGATGTAAAATGTAATATAAAGATATTTGCATGAAACAGATTCACGACATGGACTGAATGTAACACTTGCAGAAGCCAGAATTGACTTCATGTTTCGATAATTTTCTCTTGCAGCCAAGTCAGTAATTTAAAAAAAAATGTAACAAAATTGTCACTCGCTTTGTACCAAGTTTACGGTTCTTTAAAATATGACTTGTTATATTATTCGTTTTTAGCCCCTCAAACACATTTCAGCATTTGTCGACCCCAACAGTTTCATTTTTGTTTATCACATCAATCTCCTTTGTTCTACCTCAAGAAACGAGACGGCCTTGGACAATATTCTGAATACACAATTCGCCTAGAGACAATAATATTATTTATTCCATGAGTCCATGACATCAGTTTGTCCCTAAGGCATTTTGCATGCAAAAATAGATCGACCGATAAAGCAATAAGATTTAACGAAGCAGCAAATTTGATAATATAACGGCATGATTTGCGTAAGTGCATGTCGCAAGGCTTTTGAATTTGTATTGATTCATGTATACGTATTTGTTAGATTGTAAGCCTTTTAATTGTGGAAGGTGCAGATGTATAACTAGATGATAGATATTCAGTGAATACTCCTTATTACAAGATTACTTTAGAGTTGAATTACTTGTAGAGATCATTCTACATTTATAGTTTAATTCTTTGAGGTCAACTCAAAATTATGGTAATTTATAAAACATTGATGCATATATTTTCAATTGATAGATATACATTTATTCAGTACATCAACTAGTTTGGTTGCTCATATAATAAAGAAAATGTTGTAGCTACGTGTCAATCTGTATTTACTGATATTTAAATATACTGGTTCCATTACATTTGAACCCACGTACATTTGAACCCATGACAATTGCACCTGTATGCTATTGCACCTATGGAATTTTTTGTGTTTCACGGATAGTTAAACCCATACTAACCCTAACCCATGGGTTTTAGCACCCGCATATAGATTGAACCCGTGGATATACGCATGGGTTCAAATGTACATGGGTTCAAATGTACGGTCACCAAATATACTATATTATGAAACTCATTTCGAAATTATAATGTAAGAATTCACACATTGCCATAGAAGCAAACAAAATTGGATTGCAATTTGAAATTTGATTTGATATAATTAATGTATTCAATTCATATTCCAACGTAATAAGTCCCTCATGCAACCATCGTACTTTTGTGTTTTTATTGTATCGTTTTTTTTGTGCGATGACGTACGTCAAAATTAAAATTGAGCACCTTGCGGCGATTCCGCGTTCGCGTTAGTGGTTTGGCATATTTGTGAAGATTGCGGTACCGTTAATTAATGTATAGTATGACAGATACAGTCATACAGTAATACCATACCCGTATTACTCTGTTTTGGTTTTCGTGTCCATATATTTGAACATAGTTAAGATCACAATATCCTACAATAATGAAACATATCCAAGCAATACTTTTTTGTCAAATTATTGCTGTTATATCATTATGCCAAACTGAAGAAACATTTCACTGTACTGCAAAACCTGGATGTCAGATTGCCAATTGTGATCCAGTTGCATCAGATTGGAATCAGTCGGAGTATGACATTAGAAAATATCTGCTAAGAAAGGAATTTCCCATAATTTGCAAACAGATGGTGACAAGGGACAGCTCAACTCTTCTCCAGCTTGTGTATAACAATATAAAAGGTACATATAAAAGTACAGTGTTGGACACGGAGTATTGTTCTTGCTAGAAGGCTAATACTTTTACTTATTTCAAAAATATATGTGGGCTCTATGGGACCGTGCCGTGATCAGACTACCGGTATGAAAGATTTGTTACTACTTTGTTTGGGCCGTGTTTTATATTTGAGCTTTGCTGTTTTGTTTATCTTATCGAACCGAAGAACCTTTCTTATTAACTTCCAGACCAATCGTTTTGCAAATTTTCAGTTCGTGAAAATGAAAGCTATTGTTTTTCTATCCCGTCGTTTAACACATATTGTGGTGATTTTGAAAAGGATTCACTACATAGAATTTTATACTTGACTAGTTTTGATGGTCGCTGTATGTGGTAAAATTAAATTTTCACAATAATTGCCCCAATATAAGGATTGATCAATTTTGATGAATGCTTTTGTTAATGCATAAGAGAACGAATATCTGAAAGTTAAAGTTGAGCAGATGGAACAACGCATTGATTCATTGACAGCAACGAACAACATTTTGACAACATCAATCGAAAGACTGGAAAAGACTCATTCGGAAATGCAAAGTATTGTAAAATTAATTATACCAGAAAAAATAATACTGTAATCGATATAGATATTATTTAAAAAATATTTTTAGCAGTCTTAAACCATGCTCCATCAAGAATTAAAGAAAATCAGAAAATATTGCAAAGCTGAAAACAAACTTCATGATTACAGAGAAAATATGCTTTGACAAAAGTGGAATAATAGTTGAATCAATGTGCTATTGGTCAGAAGTTCATTCTACACGGAACACAGATCTTGAGGAAGCTCGAGAAATCTGTGTCGCCCAAGGATTCAAACTCGCTGATGTTTTTACGATGTATCAATATGACATCATAATGACATACCTAAGAAGACAAATGCCTGCAAAAAGTTTGCGATTCCATATTTGGACAGGAATGAAAAAAGATAAAGTATGAGTTGGATTTTATTATTTTCTGAAATTATATGAAAAAAAGACACTAATTATCGGCTATCAAACTTTTAAGCCAGTTTAAGTAATCAGTTACTAGACACAAAATATATATACTTGAAGCCGGGAAAAGTCGATAAAAGGCTATTACTTTTTCCCTCTCGGTCCTACGTAAACCCGTACTTCACCCAAAGTTTTGCTGTTTTTTTTTTATTAAATTCATGGTAACACATTTATTTATACGACATGGAATTTTTTTATATTAAATTTGACACTTGTTTTCATATATGTGACCATTCTCTCTTTTTATATTTTGTATGTATAAGCATAGTTTAAAATAACAAATATAATAACTGTTTACAGATATAATTTATCTCTTTTTCATTTTGATTTTCCTAGATTGGGAACGCAATTCTTTCAAACGGCAAAATAGCAACGTATAAAAAAGTTAGGACAATTCCAAGTGTTTGGGCAATGGCAGGATCACAACGAACCCGTGTTTACATCCTCGTGCACAAAAATTCCGAAGATTCCGATCAGGGTTTAGGAGCCATGTCGTGGTCGGAAGAAACTTTTGGGGCATTATGCTCATTTTATATTTTGTCGTCAGTACCCAGGTTATCTTAAAGTAAGATACACATTATTTTACGGAGAAATTTGTGAGAATATATGTTTGTAACGTTAAATGTTATCATATTCTTAGTTTGAGAAAACTTTGCAATTTAGCTATGAATTTTTTCCAATAGAGTGCGATATGTTAAGGTGATATACACAAAAGTGTTCTTGGCAATTTTGCTATATATATATGCATTCAGAATCTGATTATTACACTCGTTTTTTCCCCACGAATTATCTTGACTTTTATCTCCACCACCACGCTTAAAACAACCGTAAGATGGGGTACACTACATAAGTTTTGTAACAATTTGATCGGGTACAGACCTAGAAACCTAGTTTGGAAAAAATTTGATATCTCACTATAAAATGCAGATTTTGACGCTTCAAATTGAATATGTGAATATAGCAATATACTTAAAAAATACCCTTTACTTTCCTGATAAATTGTGAAATTATTGCAGTTCCAAATATAGAATTATATAAACTTTAATTTTTTTACAGATAGAATAAGCATAAAAAATGTATGATGTTTGTGTTTTATATATTACAAAAATTGAGTGAAAAATTCAAAAGCACATACAGCTATTGAAAGTAAAACGAAACCTCAACATTTATTGAAAGTCTCGATGCAGTTAATCATTAATTTTATTTAATTAACGAATGAATTATATAACCAATTTAAAGTCAAAATACTAATTACTTAACATCTATTGATGAAGCAGAGAAAAAAAGAGTTATAATCAGTTTGCGCTCAAACAAATTTTTCACAAATATATGGTAATAACTTAGAACAATCATAGTCATTTAATGAAGTTTCTGTCAAATGGACGCAATCTTCATTTCCTTCATAGTCATCAGGCGGATTTATCCAAGGAGTATTATCTGCGGTGGAAACGACGCCATCCTCCCAAATAAAGTTGCCTTCATGTTCAATATCATTCAATCCAATCCACACATTTTCCCCACTGGCAAGACTGATTAAATGACTGTGAATTAAAAACATTATTGAATGTTTATTGATGATAGGAGTAAAATATTGTTTTTGTAATATTTAAAAAACAAAGTTAATTAAACAACACTATTTTGCAAACATATTATGCAGCTATTTGTATAAATAATATTCTGATATAGAACATAGCAAGGTCTTTCAATGTGTATTGCATTTTGTAATCGAACTTATACTTCATCGCTTTCGTATTTGAAACAATAATTCAATACTCACTTTCTTATTGAAGAATCGCGAACACCAACGGAAGCTAAATTTGCCTTTTTCTCTTGACAGTTTGCTTTGGCAGTCGCATAAGAAACCAGGTCCAAGAACATTTTGTAGTAAAAGTTGTTGCTTGCTTTATACCAGGTTTTGATTTTTTTCTGTAAAATAGTTTAGTGAATGAATGGCCGTTACGTCTTTATCAACGTATTTTTTTTTTAACATCTTATACCATTATCTTACAAAACCTAACCTCTCTTAATCCATCACCCCCTTTTTTTACTTACCCCTTTCCTTTGCAGCTTCTACATTATTTCGCAGTTGTGTGATCATTTCTGTTGTAAATAGAAAAAAAATGGAAATTTCAGAAAAATTATGACAAAAATGTGCTATTCAATACATATTCCCACCTTGTTCATTCGGAGTCTCACAGAAACCTTTAGTAACGAGACGACCTTTAACAAGTTTGTGGATGCACAAGTCACCTAAATGCAAACGTTTTTATTATTCGTGACGACTCCTTGTCTGTATATAATTTATCTAACGCGTATAAACTTAAAGTGATCATTCCAAAATGTTTGTAGAAAATGAAATAGAACAATTCACCGGTAACATATAACAAAAGATTTGAAATGTTCTTATATTTTCATCTTTATCAATCAAAGTTATGGGAAAACGATAATTATTTTGAGCTAAATTATTTGTTTCTAAGTTTACATAGTTGAAACCAGCATTCGTACTCATTATCAAAAACGTGACCAGATTTCCTGCTATTTTACAGATTTTAGTTGAGATGTATGTTTTCGATTTTTATTCTCTATCACTATTTTCTTTCAGCCTGATTAGATTTTGACAAGCATTGCTCTATTTAGTTGATTTGATAAATTTTCCAAACTGATTAACCTTCAATTTTTTAGCTTAGACCAAGCATTACTTAAATAACGATAAAAATATAAACAAACCTGTTTTACCAAATATCATCAGCTCGTTCGGCAAGATAAAAATATACAGCAACAGGAAACAACAAAACTTCATTCTTGCAAATAGGGTAAAAAGTACAATGAAATTAAACTTTAATAACTTTAGTATATTTAGCTGGAAACAGTATATAAAGCTGATTATTTTAATTCACTACACGTCGTTGATTAAGCTGCGTTCTATTGGCGGTGACAACAATTTTTTGGCTCATACTTAGGCTACGCTTTGGTCATATGCAGGACAAAAATACATTCTAAAGATTCCATGTTATGACCATTAAAATTATATTTTTATGATTTTTCCGTGAACATAGATGTGAGCAACTGATTTTTGTGAGTAATGTTTGTAATCAGCTCTTGATATATTAAGGTTACTATTATTATAACCGGCCATGAAAATAAATATTACATTTTATCATTATTGGATGTTTTTGTAATCTCATTTTAGAGCCATTTAGTGTTTAATCGATGTAAAAACGTTTATATTTCTAAAAAATAAAATTCATTGCTGCATGCCATGGTAAACATTTACAGGTTACTTTGGTGTCAGCGTCAATAATTATCAGATTGTTTGAATGAAATGGATATTTGATTCATTTTGAGATACATTATACCCTTATTATACATTTTATTATACCCTTGTATCTTTCTGAACATATTGATTGCATATATAAACTTGTAAAATTTTGTATCTATGACATAGGCTCGGTTGCAAATGAGATTTCATAGGCATGAGCCGGAACAGCAAAAATTAAGAGTACTGATGACAGTTGCAACGCACAATTGACGTCATCAAAATATTTAATAGCATTTGCAACATCAGGATCAACCTATTTCACATAAATGTGATAAACTCCTCAACCTCAATCTCAATCTCAATCGCATACCAGAGTGGCACCGATTGTGCTTAATCTCGTAAATATATTTCTCGTAGAATAACTAAAACCACTGAGATCAAACCACCCGGCGACGAACAGACGAAAGACCCGAGTATCGCCCTGAGGTTATAGGTGTTTTTATCCATCGCACTGGCACTTTGAGAATATGGTCTAACCGTCTAACTGTTGCCTGGTTCATATTCTGACCAACTGAACCAATTTCCCAGGACATGTTGAATATGTATCGAGCCCAAATATTTTTTATTCCGCCTTTATCACACTTACATGCTTCTTCACTACTTATGACGTAATGTTAGTAGTTGCCGGTTGACAAGGACCTAAACAGGAAAAAATGAGAAAAGGAAAGAATAAAACATTTATAAAAAAGATAATAGGATTTATTGAAGTAAACTTGTAGCATAGAAAATGTGTTGTTATCGTTATCAGTGTGCATGTGGTTATTTTTAAACTATTTTCAAACTATACAACATTAAAATCAGAATTTTCCCATAATTGAAAACGAAGGATCTTTGTATCGCTTTTCTAATTCTTGTTGTGAACAAATTTCGATTTTTTTACGCAAACAAGAGAGCTATACTTAAAGATGTGGACACGGAGGGCAAAACGAAATATTTCATCATCAATCCCCCAAAAATCATAGGCTGTAACTTACCAGTACCTATATCAGGATAACGTTACAGACACTCTCACAGCTTTTTCAGGTCCTGTGACGATGATCTTACGTGTTTTGGTAATGGCAGGATTCCAGCGAATCTATGTTTACATTATCGTGCACGAAAATTCTGAAGATTCAGATCAGGGTTTAGGAGCCATGTCGTGGTCGGAAGAAACTTTTGAGGCCTCATGCTCATTTCATATTTTGAATTTAATACCACGGTTATCTTATTAAGCAAGATACACATTACTTTACCAAGAATTATGTTAAAATATCCATCTGTAACCAACAATGAGAATTTGAAGTTGAAGTTTATCATATTCTTAGTTTGAGAAAAATTTGGAGTTAAGCTATGAAATTTTCCCAATAGAAGACGATATGTTAAGGTATTATGCACAAAAGTGTTCTTGGCAATTTTGCTATATGCATTCAGAATCTGATTACTATACTTGTTTTTTCCCCACGAATTATCTCGACTTTTATCTCCTAAAACAACCGTAAGATCGGGTACACTACATAAGTTTTGTAACAATTTGATCTGCTACAGGCCTGGAAACTCAGTTTGGAAGAAATTAGATATCGCCCTATAAAATGCAGTTTCTGACGCTGCAAATTTAATATGTGAAGATAGCAATATAATTGAAAAAAACCTTCACTTTCCTGATAAATTGTGAAATTATTGCAGTTCCAAATTTAGAATTATATAAACTTTAATTTTTTTACAGTTAGAATAAACATAAAAATGTATGATGATTTGTGTTTTATATATTACAAAAATTGAGTGAAAAAATTCAAAAGTAGATACAGCTATTGAATATTATAAAATAAATAATCAATAAAGTAAAACGAAACCTCAACATTTATTGAAAGTCTCGATGCAGATAATCATTAATTTAATTACCGAATGAATTATATAACCAATTTAAAGCCAAAATACTAATTACCGGTACTCAACATCTATTGATGATACAAAGAATCAGTTTGTGCTCAAACAAATTTTTCACATATATACGGTAATAATCCAGAACAATCATAGTCATTTAATGAATTTTCCGTCAAATGGACGCAATCTTCATTTCCCGCAGCGTTATCAGGTTGTGGATCTATCCAAGGAGTATTATCTGCGGTGGAAACGACGCCATCCTCCCAAATAAAGTTGCCTTCATTTTCAATATCATTCAATCCAATCCACACATTTTCACCACTGGCAAGACTGATTAAATGACTGTGAATTAAAAACATTATTGAATGTTTATTGATGATAAGAGTAAAATATTGTTTTTGTAATATATAAAAAACATAGTTAAATAAACAACACTATTTTGCAAACATATTATGCAGCTATTTGTATAAATAATATTCTGATATAGAACGTAACAAGGTCCTTCAATGTGTATTGCATTTTGTAATCGAACTTATACTTCATCGCTTTCGTATTTAAAACAATAATTCAATACTCACTTTCTTACTGAAGAATCGCGAACACCAACGGAAGCTAAATTTGCCTTTTTTTCTTGACAGTTTGCTTTGGCAGTCGCATAAGATACCTGGTCCAAAAACTTTTTGTAGTAAAAGTTGTTGCTTGCTTTATACCAGGATTTGAGTTTCTCTGTAAAATAGTTTAGTGAATGAATGGCCGTTACGTCCTAATCAACGTATTGATTTTTTTTTTTTTAACATCTTATACCATTATCATACAAAACCTAACCTCTTTTAATCCATCACCTCCCTTTCTTTTACTTACCCCTTTCCTTTGCAGCTTCTACATTATTTCGCAGTTGTGTGATAATTTCTGTTGTAAATAGAAAAAAAAATGGAAATTTCAGAAAAATTATGACAAAAATGTGCTATTCAATACATATTCCCACCTTGTTCATTCGGAGTCTCACAGAAACTTTCAGTAACGAGACGACCTTTAACAAGTTTGTGGAAGCACAAGTCATCTAAATGCAAAAGTTTTTATTATTCGTGACAACTCCTTGTCTGTATATCATTTACCTAACGCGTATAAACTAAATACTCAATGTGATAATTGCAAAATGTTTGAACCGGTAATATATAACAAAAAATTTGAATTGTTCTTATATTTTCGTATTTATCAATCAAAATTGGGAAATTGTTAGATATTTTGAACTAAATTGTTGTCTTTCGAGTTTACATAGTTGAAACCAGTATTCGTACACATTATCAAAAATGTATCTAGATATTCTGCTATTTTCCAGATATTAGTTGAGATCTATATTTTCGATTTTGTATTCTCTATCTTTACTTAAATAACTACGCAAGATGAACAAACCTGTTTTGCCAAATATCATCAGCTCGTTCGGCAAGATAATATTATACAGCAATATGAAACAACAAAACTTCATTCTTGCAAATAGGGAATAAAGTACAATAAAATCAGACTTTATTATATTTGGCTGAGAACAGAATAGCTGATTATCTTAATTCACTACACGTCGTTGACAATGATTCGTTCCTTTGACGGTAACAATGATCAAGTCAATGGGCCCATAATAAGGCTACGCTTACATGCAGGACAAAAATACATTCTAAAGGTTTTATATCATGACCCACCCCTAGACTAATATTTTCATGATTTTGACGTGTACGTAGATGTATGTGGACAACTAATTTTTGTGAGTAATGTGTTTAATCAGCTCTTGATATATTAAGGTTACTATTATTATAACCGGCCATCAAAACATATTTGACATTTTAAATATTATTGACTGTTTTTGTAATGTCATCCTTGAGCCATTGAGGGTTTAATCGATGTAAAAGCGATTATATTTTTGAAAAATAAAATTCCTCACTGCATGTCATGGTAAATATTTTCAAGTTACTTTCGTGTCAGCGTCAGTAATATTATAATACTCAGATTTGTTTGAATGAGTTGGATAATTGATTCATTTTATAATACAATACTTACCCTTATATCTTTCTGAACATATTGCTTGCTTTTATAAATGTGTAGAATTTTGTATCTATGCCATAGGCCATGATACCACTTTATTTGCATTATTCCACTCTACGTGTTTTGCAATCTCGTGTAGTATCGAACACAACGTTCAAGTCCATGTAAAAAATGATATCTATATATAAATATATATATACCGGTATATATAAACAAATGTTGGGCCTTTTTTATCTTCTTATCCTTCACATCTCGAATAGTTACAATGAACTACACTAAAAGCAATAGGGTGTGTTTGAACAAGCATCCTATTTGATGGCGGTACATATTTTCGAACATCTTTTCGAGTGTCCATGCTAGAGCCCTATTTTCCCAATTTATTTGGCACTATAAATAAAACATTTAAATGTATTATACCAGTTTATCTATCCCATTTATGCAAATCACGATGAATGGAAACAGTAACAAAATTATGTCATTATAGAATTTATGTTCCATATTGCCCTACAGAGTCTACAAGACATTATTGCTGAAATATTATTTATATGCACGCTATTTTTAAGTCACTTACTTAAATTGTAAAAATGTTTTATTTTTCTATACTGTGCTATATTTTTGACTGTAGTATTTTGTGTTACAGCAAATTCAAGTTTACTAAAATTTGTAGGTTGCGTTTGACAACACAGTATTATTGCTGGAGCTGACTTTCCCCACATTACTTAGAATAGCTACAATTCACCTGACGCTAATTTGCTATCCCATTTGCCAAACCAACAATTGTCGATAATGCATCATTGTAGGATATATCAAAAATAATACGGTGTGTTTTTCGTTCATATAGATCAGGGTTGGGCAACCTTTTTCGGCTCGCGTGCCGAAAAATCTGTTAAATTTAACGACAAAATTCTTCCGCGTGCCGACCACAATTAAATACAATTCTTTGCTACTTTCAAAGCAATGATATATACACAATATTAGACCTTTTAAACATGTACAGACAGATTCACTATTTGGGAAAATATCAGTCCGACAAATAATTGATTACTTTTCTGATTCTATATCAGTGAGACTGCTGCTGCATTACCGCTGATTTTACATTGGGTTTATGTTTTGTGATTGTTAGAAAAATACACGAACTACTGGTTTCATTTTTCAGGCTACTCCTATTACGAGACTTATATAGTTCATAACTGAGAACAGAGATTCACAAGCATATGCAAATAAAAACATGGAGAGTAATGCAGTTGAAAAGTTTTTAGGACATGGACAATTTTCGGGTATGACATCCTGAAATCAATTTATAACAGTAAGTTAGCAAGTAAGTCTAACCAACATGAGCTTTACAACTTCATAAATCAAGCAGATAGAAAGAAGAGGGTGGCACAGAGAAACTATATATGTAAGAATATAGCCAAATGAATTATGCGCTCTTCTCGAGACTCATTTGTTACGTCATAATATATTTCTTTGTAGCGATATGTCATGAAAGGACATAAAAAGTTTAAATAAATAACGGATTGTTGAACGTGTTGAAACTTTTCATCTGAACGAGAATGATCTCGTTTCCGAGGCCTCGCTCGCTTGCCGAATAGGTGGGCTCGCGTGCCAAGTTCGGCACGCGTGCCAGGGGTTGCCCACCCCTGATATAGATTATAGACTGTGCTAAATATGGATAGATATGGCATACAGTGTTTTCTGTAGCGCGACAGGACCCTATAGACAAGTTCTAAACCAGGATTGTCAAGCCTTTCCGGACACAGGGCCACATTCAGTTTACGAATGATTGCGCGGGCCACTTGGTAGTTATGTTCTAGTTTTCACTACACCGACTACGGATCAATGAAAAAAAACACAAAGCACCTAATTATAAGAATAATGGAAATACGAAGATACAGTAAGGTCAAAAATTTTAACCACACATAGATATTTCAATGGGAAGTATGGTACTGCGTATCCGAAGTTTATCAATAATAGGCGCAATGGACGATGTAGCAAGGGGGAGCGAATTTTTCACGTGGCTGTCAGAAATTCGTGTCTCACGGGGGATTTTACATGGTTCATCCGTGAAAAAACTTGCTCGTAGAAGTAAATGCTGTCAAATGTTGAGGTCATACTGCCTCTTCTAGCTTCGCAGAAAAAAGACAGGAAAACAAATTGAAATATATGGAAGACAATAACAATAAATTCAGACATGTCTCACTAACAATAACGACCACAAATGGACATAAAAGAAGCTTTCGATAGCTAGGTGGTGCTTCTCGCGCGTTTGTACGACGATTTTTTTGTATTAGATGTTCCAACAATGGCTCAGATTTGTGAAAGACATTGGGATTCGAATGATACCGCGCGGGCCACTCGGAAACCTTCGGCGGGCTACATGTGGCCCGCGGGCCACGGGTTGGACGACCCTGTCCTAAACAGTGGATAAATCAAAACCTCCATCGGTTGAAAAAATGCTTTTTTACATCAATATTATCTTTTTTGTCATGCATCTAACTCGGTATTTTTTAGGTTTGCAAATTATCAAATTCATTGCTATTTTCTCTTGCATTGACAATGTGATGTGTGTTGTTAGAATCGACAAAATATATTTTTCTCATATTTTGATGTATGGCTGTTTACATCCAAAAGTTCGTTCAAAACAATCTCGAAAAGTGTAAAAATTATTTTGCACAAAATAATCTTACTTATTTAGAAATTGTCACGCGTTTAGCGATTCGTTATATTAATTTCAACACCTTTTTCCGTTATCGACTCGTGTTGAAAATATTCTAAAACCTAAAATATTTAGAAAGTTTTATCAAGTTGCATAATAATATACTAGATGGAAAACAATTTATATTCGCCAAAGTAAAAAAATCTGAATTTCTAGATCTATCAGTTTCAATAATCACTGGGCAGGATAATGCCTACATAGCAAATATATATGCACCGTATGAGAAAGTTAGGATAATTCCGAGTGTTTTGTTAATGGCAGAATCACAGCGAATCTATGTTTACATCATCTTGCACAAAAATTATGAAAATTCAGGTCAGGGTTTAGGAGACATGTCGTGGTCGGGAGAAACTTTTGAGGCTTCATGCTCATTTCATATTATGAATTTAATACCACGGTTATCTTATTAGGTAAGATACACATTATTTCACGAAGAATTATGTTAAAATATCCATCTGTAACCAACAATGAGAATTTGAAGTTGAAGTTTATCATATTCTTGGTTTGATATAAATTTGGAGTTAAGCTGAGAATTTTTCCTAATAGAGTGCGATATTGTATTATGCACAAATGGGTTCTTGGCAATTTTTCTATAAGCATTCAGAATCTGAATACTATACTTGGTATTTTTCACGAATTTTACCGACTTTTATCTCCACAACCACGTTCAAAACAACTGTAATATTGGATAAAAATCGACCGCTGCGTCCGATCAACTAAATAAGTTTTGTAACAGTTTGATCGGCTACAGACCTTGGTAGTTTGGAGGAACTTTGATATCTCACTATGAAATGCAGAATGTGAGTTTCAACTAAAAAACTCCCTTTTACTTCCTAGATAAATTGTGAAACTTTCCCTTTTTTTATTACCGTATATGGAATTCTATAAACTCTAATCTTTACCGAAAGAATAAACCTAATTTATAACGTTTATGTTTTATATATTGCAAAAAATTGAGCAAATGCTTCAAAAGCACATACAGCTATTAAATATTATAAAACAACTAGTCAATAAAGTAAAACGAAACTTAAATTTTTATTGAAGATCTCGATGCAGCTAATTTTTAATTCCAATGTCATAAGAAACACAGTATGCACGAATGTATCATAATTATAGAACCAATTTGAAGCTAAAATACTGATTACTTAACATCTAGGGGAACTTGAATATTGTGTATGTATTGAACTGCAGGTCCTTTCTCCTTGTTTACTTTCTACTTCAGGTTCGTATGTGATATTTGCCACAAGCATGCTTAATCGAGATAGTATTGAAGTGATAAGTAAAAATGACATGATCTCTTTCAGCAAAAGAGTAAGTTTATTTGTGGTCTTTCGTTAAATCATGGTCTAACTTCTTCAAACAACACAAATGGAACTCGGAACATGGACGTAGCGTACACTT